GAAGAAAAATATGGATCCAAATTCAGTCAAAAAGTTGACTTGACCCTAGACCTCACCTCTCATCCAAAAGATGATGGGTGCATGACCACACCTCTTATCTAACCAGTTGAGCTATAGACTCACTTCGTAGGAGCTAATGTTGGTCAAAACTTCATCAAACGGGACCTTGGATTTGTGTAGCTTCGTTGTTGCTCATGCATGAATGAAAATACTAACCAACAAAACTAAAGGTTAAAGAAACATAGTAGTTCATTTTATTTCAATCCATTGGCTAAAAAGTCAACTGCCGAGAATGCACGAGACACCGATCGGTGGTTATTAGATTATATGGGCTTGTTTGGGATAAGCTCTTCACGCTAAACCATTGTAGCTCTATAAACTTTGCTCCAGAAAAAAATTGAATTGTGAGAGCTCCTGAAGAGGTGCTCCGCAAAACTTTTTTTTTTTGCAGCACGATAGAGTTTGTGGAGTAAATTTTGTGAAAAGGTTCCATACCAGGCCCTAAATACAAGAAAATTTTAGGTGTCCGACACTAGGTTGGAGCTCATATAGTATCAGTGTCTACCATCGAGATTTCCCACGAGGAAAGCATTATAAAGCAATATGATCGATACTTAACAAAGGTGCGCCGTAGGAGAGGAGAGAATATCCGAAATCCATGAGTGTCTACTGTCTACCATCGGCGACACCAACCGCGCGGCGCCAAGTGTCGGGCCGCAACAGCGGGCAACCGGAGTGATCCGCGCACCCATCTCTCCTCTTGATATTTCCTTTCCCGGGAGCTGCATCCATCGATTCTCAGCGTGATCTTGTCCGGGGACGCCGGTACGCGTCTCGTCCGGCAACGGCAAGGCTCGCCGTCACGGCGCAGCACGAGTCGCGCTCGCAGCGATCGGTGGATGGATGGATCGCCGGGCCAGAGCGAGAGCGAGAGCGAGCCGCTTGGACATGGACTGGGGCACTGGGCCGCCGCTGGCCGGAAGCGCCGCCGGGTCCCGCGGGGCACGGGCGCTGTCGGTAACCCACGTGTCTGGCCACCCGCCTGCGTGGCCCCGGCCGACAACCGCGTCTGACCCGCAATGGCTCCCCATGACGTGGTGGGCGCGCCTCGCTTTTTGCCTGCGCCTCGCCTCGCGTCGGGTTGCGCACTGCAGGTAGGGACAGTACTGCACGCCTGCACTGCACCGGTACTAGCAGGACGGGCCCCAACGGCGCCGTGGTAGGTACGTTCAGGTGGACCTTTGACCTCCGCGAACGGCTGCTCGGTTTCGTTTCTTCCCAGCCAGGATCTTCTGAAGCGCATTAATGTGGATGTGGTGGTTTTATAATCTTTACGTACAATATAGTAGTAATCTATGCGCGTTAAGGTGGTTGGTTATTGATGCCTCATTTTTTAATTATTTTTTGGCGCGAAACGATGCATTGCAGTTGTGCTGTCTGTTTCAGAGCACACTACTACGAAGTTGCAAAGTGTCAGCACCTATTTTATGATCAGTTTCCTTGTAAACTTTTACTGGCATGAAGACGTGAAGGCGTCATGCAAGAGGGAGCAAAATTTTGTACTTCTATTTCCTGGATTAAATGGTCAAATTAAACAGTGGTTTGCTTTGAGAAGAAAAAACGGGAGGTTACAGAGGATCCGTGCGATTCGATCTTTGGCTTTTGTCCGTTACCTGTGGCATCAAGGTCTGGGCCCCGAAAAAAATGCATGTTTTTATCTAAGCGCGACGATGGAGGATTTCACATTTGCCGTCTCGCGGGCGATCTTGCTTCGTGTGCTCTCGTGATCTCTCTGACGTCTGTGTCTGTCCGCTCCGCTCCTTGTCACTGAAGCTTCGCGTTTCTTTCCCTTCCACGAGGCAGTACAAAACAATGTGAAATGCGACTTTACTTTTTTTATGAGAAAAGAAAGGGATATTGCGAGGATTTTGTGCGCCGTGGGTTTGACCACGTCGAAGAATAAGCAAGCACTTTCCAAACATTCTTATATATAACTAGCTGTAAAGTGAAGGAGTAAGTTGGTTCCAGCTTTCGTTGATTCGATGCGCACGCAGTAGCTACGTGCATGTCATGCTCGGGGTCGCTCTCGGTTATGCGCCCCGTTCGCTTGAATTTATCTACGTATAATATTTTTTTCTCATAATAAAACAACATCGACCGTAAAAACCATCGGCGCAACTTCGTGAGCCATGGCAATATCGCCATGCATGTATGCATATGCACGCAGCGTGTCCGTGTTGTGCACTGCACAGATTATTGTTGTTACTATGCGCCGTGCCACCAAGCTAGTACTATGTGTCTATGTGCCGTGCCGGTAGGTTTCAGATTCCGCGTCGAGAGGAGAACGAGGAAGTGTCCTTGTTCCTCGGTAGGTTTAAACTCCTCGAGAGGAGAAAAAACCCTTGTTCCTCTAAACTCCTAAAAATTATTCATCAAATTAAAATTCTCGTCACATCAAACGCATGTACATGCATGAAGTATTAAATGTAGATGAAATCAAAAACTAATTGCACAGTTTGCTTTAACTTTGCGAGACGAATCTTTTGAGCTTAATTAATCAATGTTTGGACAATAATTCATAAATAAAAACGAAATGATATAATAGAAAATCTTTACTATGTAAAATTTGTCTGTGCAAATTTTACCGTACTAAACACACCCCGAAGAGGAACACACGGTGGGCCAGCCACGTCCGAGTGTCAGTGTGTCTGTGTGCGCGCGGCAGCAGGTTAGTACTGCACTGTTTCAAGATTCGACACCGGTCCCCTTCTGCCTTGACCGTTGCTCTTGCTCACCCCCGAAGAAATGCTCCAGTACGTACGTATTTCACAGTAGCTTGCCAGCACGTCAAGACGACACCAGTCCCTGCAGGCACCTGGCCACAACGTGGATGCGTTCCTGAAAGCAGGCTCCTGCTCATCACTACGTAACCGATGGTTTGTGCGGTTGATAAGGCGGCTCAAGCTGATTTGATGCGAAAAAAAATACTATTTCATATTCCATAGTCGATAAGCTAAGCTAATAAGCTCAAACCACAGGTGTACCGTATACTAGTAGCTGGAATTGCCACGCGGTGCGTCGCTCTCGCGCGGGCACGAAGCCATGAACCGACCAAGGATGCAGCGAAGCCAAGTGCCCAAGTCCATCCATGGATCACGAGACATGCATCTGCGGATAGGTGGACGTCGACAGCCATGCCGTGCCTTATCTCTGCCTCATTCCCTCGAGTCTCAACGGCCAACGACGTCTCTCATACCGTCTCCAACAATCGCGACCCAAAATACAAGATTTATTTATTCTTTAGGTATCATTATAGGTAAAGGGTTCAATACTTATTTTTGGTCTTCTCTAATAACAAGACCCAAAAGACAATCATTTCTACAAATGGGTCTCTAGGAGAGAGGATACTCAGATTTGAGTTATGCCTCTCCTGTCACTCAAAATATGTTTTTTTTATATATACACTCTATTAGAGGCTATATGTATTATGTTATAGATCTGGTTTGGGTTTCACAGTGGGTCTCCTGTTGGCCTCACAAGTCACACCTGACTGACGGGTTTGTTCGTTTCGTTTGCTCTTCCGAGTTCTGACAGCCAACTACTACTACTACTCCACCTCAAAATCCTACGCCTCCTATCGATCTCATTCGCAAAGGGAGTGTTCGGCTGGCCGTTTCTGGCTGGCTGGGTCCTCTTTTTTTCCAGTGCTACAGTGAATACCAGCTGCTACAGTGTCCAATTAATGCCAGCCGAACACTCGAGATGCTTCCACCAGTCGTATCTCCCATTCTCCCTCCCTCGATATTGGCAGGGCCCACGCCTTGTCTGCGCCTACCGGTACTGTACCGCAGGTTATTGAAACAGTAACGGGTGCCGTTTATTATCAGTGGAAGCAGAGCTATCAGGGGTCCGGGCCCATGCGGGGTTAACGCTAATTCCCCACCGCCTTGCGTCTGTCATGTTTCACCGGTCAGTGCACGCGGTCAATTTCCTCACAGCAAAGCCACTTTGATCGTGTGACGGTGACGTGTGTTACCACGGCCGACCACGTCTCTAATCCCCATAATAACGGAATATCTCTTTCTTTCTTTTTATCCGGCTGGTACGTGAGCAGGAGCTGTAAAAAAGGAGGCTCCACAAAAATTACCCTCCCGCGTTAAACAAAACCTTGAATAGGTGTTACCAATTTGAAATCATATCACTGTGTGTGGTAAGGGATTGTTTCGGCTGGCCTGCTGCCCATTGTTCCTTATCAGAAGCTGTGGAGCATCCATGCCTGCCACAAAAACATTGCTCGGACGACGAGTGGTTAAAATGAACCGAAATTCGGTCAACACAAAATCATCGCAGAGTGGCTTAATAATTCAGTTATGTCTCAATTGGCTCGGGTATGATCACACGCTACTCATATCTACGCACCGCCGCTACCGGAAGCACCGTCACTGGAATGTTCGCCGATGATTCCTACCGATTGCATATATCGATAACGAAAACAACTCAACGTGCGCGCAAGCGTATCCAACCCAAAGCTCGTAAACAAACCGAGGGACGATAATGAAATCCACTGGAATTAGTAGGAGATGATGAGATCGGTGGTGTGAGTCAGCGCACTGTGCCCACGCGACCCGTGCCCCTCGCAAAAATAAGAATAGCTTTTCTGAAAATAAACTCAATCTCCTCTGGTGCTGAGAAAGCGAGACGAAGGTCACGAAAAAAGCCGCGAGAAATGGACGTAAATTTGGGAAATATCCAGGACGGCCAACGGTCCTGTACTCCTGTTCCTGTGTTGGTTCGCCCTCCGGCCTCCGCTGGTGGGCGCTCCCCGCTGCCACGGCCTGGCACCGCCTTCCTGACCTACGGCTTCTATTTAAGAAGGCGCCCCCCGCCACCATCCTACCCACCACACACACTACCACCGCAGTCCACCCCGCAGCGAGCCGAACCGCAGATGGTTTCGCGGCCGCTAGAGGCTTAGCGTCGAGGAGGAAGCAGCGTGCCACATGTTGAGTGAACAGACGGCGGCTAGCACTAGCAGCGGCGGCGGCGGCGTCGAGCATCAGGAGAGGAGCGTCGAGGACGACAGGCGGCTGCAGCCGGTGGGGGAGAACGAGGAGGAGGAGTTCAGGGACATCCACGCGCTGAGCCCGCCGCCGACGCCGAGCCAGCCTTCGTCGTACCGCCTCCGGGAGTCGTGGGGGTCCGCCGCGGGCGGGAGCAGGCACACGTCCATCCGCTCCGTCGGGAGCGACACCGCACCCAGCGAGCCCTTCCCGACTATGAGCAGGGAGTTCTCGGCCATGGTCGCCGCAGCAGCCAGCGTCAACGCAGCCGCCAACGCCAACGCCCACGGTGACGCCGCCGACAGGGACGTCGTGGACGCCATGGGCTGGAGCAGGATCGGGGAGGCCGAGGAGGAGCTGGAGGAGACCAACCCGCTGGCCATCGTGCCCGACAGCAACCCCATCCCGTCGCCGCGCAGGGGCCCGCCCACCCCAGGAGGCGCCGACGTCGCGCTGATGGCCGCCAACGGCCACGGCCACGCCAACGGCGAAGGCGGGGTGTCCGTGGGGCAGGTCAAGAAGGAGGAGGTGGAGTCCAAGATCGCCGCGTGGCAGATCGCCGAGGTGGCTAAGGTCAACAACCGCTTCAAGCGCGAGGAGGTCGTCATCAACGGCTGGGAGGGCGACCAGGTCGAGAAGGCCAGCGCCTGGCTCAAGAAGTACGAGGTAATCCATCCATCTATAGCTAGCTTCACTGACCAACATATACTCCTACAAAACCAGCAAACCTCCTAATCATGCAAGTATCTGAACTGTTCTGATAGAAATGCATGTATGCTATGGCATGTGCAGAGGAAGCTGGAGGAGAAGCGTGCCAAGGCGATGGAGAAGGCGCAGAACGAGGTGGCCAAGGCGCGGCGGAAGGCGGAGGAGAAGCGCGCGTCGGCGGAGGCCAAGCGAGGCACCAAGGTGGCACGGGTGCTGGAGCTCGCCAACTTCATGAGGGCCGTGGGGAGGGCGCCCTCCACCAAGCGCTCCTTCTTCTGAACCCACTCCCCGCACCGGCCACTGGCCTTCGCTCTTCTTCAGCAATTTCCTCTGCCTCGCCTGCTCTGCTCATCGCCGCCGCCGCCTGTGGAGTTCAGTTGTTCGCTGGATTGGATCGTTCACCGCTTCACTCCACGGGATCAGACAGAGTGATCAGTGCCGTGCTAGCTGTGTGGAACGCTTCTTTTAGTGTTGTATCCACCACATGTATGATTTGTAACCTTTCTTTTCTGTTTCTCCTGTTTTGTGTTTCATATGGTATGGTATTGCAAAGTCCATGGCCACGACGGACAGGGAAAGTACATATACCATAAGAAGGGTGTGCTCTGCCCGAGTCTTGAGGGCAAGAGCTGCCTGTATTTTGTTGGAATTTTGTCATCAACGGTTGTGTATGTCAATATGAACAAGATATGAAGTCCATTACCACTGTGTATGTAAACTGGACCGCTTGCACACTTAATTTCTGAAGTACGTAGTGGCTTTCTTCGTTTCTGCTCTTTCTTTGTTTCTTTCCTTCGCTGCTGTGAAGCTTCCATACTCCCAGCAATGTCTTCCTAAATGTTTTAAGTGCTCAACCGCAAAAATTGACACTTTTTGCAAGCCCTATGGGCGGAAGAGTGCTACTACTGTTTTTCTTTAGGAAAGACTGAAGAGTAATTTGGCACACATGTACAGTGAACTCCATGAACTTTCTGCTTCTCTGCATGCACTGACGAGCTTCACTTGGAACATCAGTTTTGGTGTAGAGCTAGAACCACAGTCCAAAGTCGTGAGGTCAAAGCTGTTTCTAACTATTCTAGTGTCACCTCAACTCAGAGTCACATACTCACATATCACCACACTCGTGACGAATAGCACTCATCATTAACACACAATATCCTACTAGTATATCCGAAAGTGCCCTCAGCAAAAAGGAGGTTGATGATAGGGCTAGGTCTTCGTGTCGCTACATTAATAAATTCCGACCCATACTTCCAATTAGCATGATCATAGTTTAACAAAAAGGCAAGTATACTAGTACATTACATTATATGATGCTTTAAGACAAGTGAATTAGTTTAATGGTCGTATATTTTAAAAAGAGGTGCTAAACAATATCCATATCCCTGACAGAAAAGTGAGCTTCAACTTACTTAATTCTAAGGTGGAGTGTAGTACAGTGCACAAAAGATGATCCTCAGTACTCACTTGGAGTGTGGACGCAAGATTTTGTTTTCGTTTATTGTTCGGCCCAGCTTAACACTGCAACACTGCAACTCAAATATTCATATGCTCCAGATATATTTTTTAATTACTTTTGTTTTAAAATACTGAAAGTGTGAATAAATGCAAAGGTAACGCATACTGTTATAACGAAGAGACAAAAGGGGTTCTGGTACCATAATACCTGAGAATTATTTCGTGAGGAAGAAAACATCGTCTTCCATGCACCTTTTGACCGGAGAGGATGCGAATCCACGGATTCCTTGCACCTGGACAGAGCGAAGACGGCCTCGGACCCACTAATGGGCCGCGCGGGCCCGAGCCTCGTGCTAATGGTGGGACGACTTTGCCAGGCCCATAGACAGGGCTAGCCCATGTGCGTCTATACACAGCGCGCAGGCAAGCTCACATGTGAACAGAGCGCCGCCTGTTCTTCTGTTCGCTTACTTATGTTATGGAACATGGCGTGTACCGTTTCAAAAGTAAAAGAACATGGCGTGTTCCGAGCTTCACCTGTCAGCGACCAGCGGTTAAATGATCACGAGATTAGCACACGAAATTACATAATAATAAAGAAGTTTAGTTATTCTTAAGTATCAGAGAAGAGGGAGATAATGAAAGTACGCAGTGAAGTTTTGCCATACCTTGTCTGGTCTGGTCTAGATGAAGGGTTGATTCTTGGTTGTAACTCAGGTCGGGTGACTTCGCTGCCAATTGAAACGGTACCAATATAGGCGCGTCTGGTAAGTGGTAACTATGTTTTCTCCTGCAATGCTCAGAATTTGAAAATGAACGGGCAACAGTAAAAAGTCATATCGGCAAAGTTGTAATGGATTACACGAACGGGAGAATAGCAACCCAAAACCAAGTTACTCTGCTTTCATAGTGTTTAGTATAAATTGGTGCAGACATAAAGACTTATTTATGTACAAAAACTTCTGCATAACTTAGAAGAAAGCGGTCATCACTGTACAGACACACCAACTAGTGCAGCAGGAATATGTTCCGCTCATCTCTGAACTATCAGTATCGCATAGCTTTATCCTTATATAAGACTGTCAGGATGTTCTCCACTGCTCCCACCAAAAGACAACTCTGGAGGGTTTGGCAGATCATCCAAACTGACCAAAGTCTCGTTTGAAGTATGTAGCAGATCAACCACATCAGCCGAAGGCTCATTCACTGAAGAAGCATCTATCCCTGAAGGGTTTGTCAGGCCAGCCACGTCAACCAGAGGCTCATTGAGGGCAGAAGTATATGGCTCTGATGGTGTAGTCAGGTCAGCAATATCAACTAAAGGCTCATCCGCAGCAGAAGCATCGTCGTCTGAAGATGAGAGCGTGCTAAACAGTCGAGTTGACCCAATGCCAGCACCACTGTCAATACCCTCCAGATCAGAATTTTGTGCTTCAGAATCAGATGATTCAGCAAGCAAGACTTCAAGGGACGGGCTGCTCTTATTTGTACCCTTTGCTGCGGAGGTCATGCCCAGCATGTCATCCTTAAACTCATAAAGCAAATCACAAACCTTTTGCAGCTCTTCCCCAGAAATTAGTGTTGCAACAGGACGATCTCCAATGCCTGCAAGATCTTCAACGTAGTTTCCTGATGTGTCATTCCCTGAAATAATAGGTTCTCTGGTAGGTGCTCCACGAAACGACTCGATACCCATACTAATTGAACTTGAACAGGAATGTTCCCCATTCTGTTTTGAGAAACTCTCATCTAGACTCCAGTCCAAACTGCTGTTCTCAATCAATTTTTTATTGGAATCTGTAGCATGATACTGAGAAAATATAGAGCCCATCATCGAAGAAGGCCTAAATCCATTCTCTGTACTTTTCAGGCCACATTCCTCATCTGAGACTGCTTCTTTCGTATTATTAATATCGCCACCCCTAGTTCTGGGGGCATTACTGCTTGATCCTTCAAATTTTGCCCCAATGGGTACACTAGACAAAAAAATCCCTCATCTGCATCGACTTCAAGAGCTCTCTTCACTAGAAGTTGACTGATATTTTTCGAATTTTTATCAGCTCTAGCCGATTTTCTCTCAAAGACAGTTTTTCAGCACCATCATTACCAAGGCATACCTCAGAAGTACCATTCTTACAAGAGCTAGCATTCCTTGCTGCAAGAAACTGCACCAAGGATATGGAAGGTCTATTTTCATTCATCTCAACTCCACTATCAACAGGTTCAAAAACTGTAGGAGGATCCAAAGGTCCAGTTCCAGTATTCACAAAATATGGCATTGCATTCAAATTAGGACCATTGTTTTGTCTATTCACCCAACTTCCATCATCAATAGATTCCTCAATTGTATCAGTCTGTGAGGGAACATCCAATGGTTCTGTGATTGCAACAAATGCCACCTTTGATGTATTGATATCATCGTTCTGTTCATTTATCTCAACCCTGCTATCCAACATTTCCTTTGAGAGAGAATTATGTGGAGTTGTGTCAATATCCGGAGAAGATATGAAGCCACCGACCAAATTTGCATCACCAGATGCACCCAGAAATTGGTCAGCTGAACCATCTTTAGTGGACATCCCACAAGTTTTTCCAGGAGAAAGGGAACAACTGAAGGAATTATCAATATTTTCAGCACTTAAATTACTGGTAGTGCAAACAGCAGGTTTCGAAGATGATGTTTCTTTGGTAGAAGTGAGTAATGCCTCCAATGCAGACGCCAATGCACCATTGATAGATACAGGTTTTTTGCTCTTGGTGTTGCCAGCTGTGCTTTTCCTGAGAGTATCATCAGACCATGTGTGATCATCACCATCACCACAAACTTCAGCCTGTTTCTTTTCTTCCACTTCGTCGTCATCATCATCATCTGGGAATTCAGGAACCTTGACAACTAAACCTGGGGAAGTTTTACGCTCCTTTTCAGAAGATAGAGCAGGCCCATCATGAAGGTTTCCATCAGTTAGCTCAGGTTGAGCAATAGAATCAGGGACCAAATCAGGGACCTTCACAAGTAGCCTTGGCACCACATTAGGCCCACGAAAATTAACATGGTTTCCATTAGTTATTACATTATAACAACAGGAATCATCTGACATAAAATCTGGCGCCCTGACAACTAAACCTGGCTTCCTGTCAGTTGTAGGAGTACTTTTATCATTAGCATCATTATGTGCTTCCTCCTGTGAGCTCATTGTATTAGACATACCATCTGGTGCTGACCTAAATGCAGAAGAACCTCTCAAAGACTGAATATCCACAGAGAACGAATTAAACTGTTCCTCCAGTCGTTGAAGCCTTGCCTCAATGCTACCAAGGGGCTTTATCATGTTGTCCTCAAACCTTGAGCAATATAATTCCATCTTCTCTACCTTCGAGAGCAGAGTATCCAACTTTCTCTCAATATGATTATAAGGAGTAAAGTTTTCATTCGCGAGGGGATTAGCAAGATGACCTGTGTTCAATTCTCGCTGGTCCTTCACTGACGACGCTTGTGTACTTTCTAATGTTTGTACAGGTAATGGATGAGAATCGGGGTCCTTGAACTGGAACTCACCTTCGCTACTTTTTTCATCAGATACTCTACCACCAATTATAGGGCTCATTCCACTTTCTATCCCTCCAGACGTATATTTTGAATCGTTTGTGCTACACAGCCCTGCTTCCTGTGTAACCCTTTCACATGTGCTGCCCTCTTGATTCCTTGATCCAGCAGAAAAATAACTGTCATCCATTTTCAAATTCCTTGATTTAGACATTTGCATAAGGCCAGGAACAAGCATTGCCAGCAAAGAACTGCCTCCCATGTTTACAGGACCTCTTACTGAATCATCATTGGTGGACTCAACAGGATCCGCAAATATGTAGATCTCCTCGATGTGCACTGATGTCTTTGACTGAAGTGATAGAAGACGGATGGTAAGAGATACACATGGGTTCACATCAGTCATCTCGGCAGTAGCTTCATAGTGTGCCTGCAATACATATAATAACAAAAGATAAGGAAGATGTTTTTACTACATCCAAAGTTGCAACTTGTAAGTCTGCCTGCTCATCAATCCCACTTCACTAAACGTACCGCTAACAAAAAGGCTGTAGATACTTTGAAAAGAACTCAATAAGAAACTCCAAACAAAGAAAAACCATCCTTATTTTATCTAACAAACTCACACAAAGTATTAAAAAAATCACACAACTGATCTAGTTATCTCTGGTATTCAATATCTATTATCTCCCAATGCTTCCTCATTTCATGTCAGAGTCAGAGGTCTACAGAAAATTTAATATCTCTCAGTTTGACAAATCTACAATGTGCAATCAAATCAATTTTTTCAGGATGTTGTAGATTGGATTAGAAGGGCGGGCCTGGTGCAAGCGGTAGAGTCTTACCGCCTGTGACCGGAAGGTCTCGGGTTCGAGTCGCAGCCTCCTCGCATTGCACAGGCGAGGGTAAGGCTTGCCACTGACACCCTTCCTCAGACCCCGCACAGAGCGGGAGCTCTCTGCAATGGGTACGCCCCCCCACCCCCCCCTTTTTGTAGATTGGATTAATTCTACAGGTTCGACAAAGTTCAGGAGATCTATGTCAAAAACACTGCCAGTAGAAACTTCCGGTGATAAATAAGTATTAACTAATGTTTATTGTGCAGAACCAAAAAATAATTACATACCAGAGTATTTTCTTGGCAGGTTCGAATCACATTCCTTTCTTCAGATTCTAGAGTTTTATTTCGTGCAGGAGATTCTGGAATCTTGATATCAACCCAACTATCTTCATCACTACCACTGCTTACACTTTTTGCCTCATGTTCATGCTTGTCACTGTTTAAAGCACTGCCAGTCCACTGAGACATAATTTCTTCACCACAGGGCTGCGGTTCTTTAACAGCAAGTCCACAACGCACAGTGCATAGATAATCCTTGCTGGTACCCTTTGCATCAGGAGAGTGGTATAGTTCATATATCCGAGCTGTGCTTCGCACATATACCCTGTGAATCTCATACTTTCCCCTGAAACTAACTGGATAAAATCCTTGAATAAGTCTTGCGCATAACAAAATGACTTTTTTTTTATGAAAAGCATATATATTAATTTAGTGACATGATGCCGCAATGACGGTGATTGTATCACCTAATACAGAGTTTATGGCTGTCAACAAAGGACAGCTGCTTACATGGAGGGGATTTGTACATGTAGACAGGGATTCATGGATATATTTCAAGTCATTTTGGATGTCCTAGCCAACCAAAATGACTTGAAATATATCCACAAAAGGTACTGTGGTATTTATAGAATGAAATGAAAATCAACTTCAAGTATGTATACAGAATGAGAATGCAACTGTCTAGAAATTTGCACTACTAAAGGCTTCCATAGGAATTCAACAGTTCAAATGTTCAATAGAACATGCCAAAACCAGTGATGACGAACAGGCCAAAACCAGTAATGACGCTATCAAAGTAGAATTGGGAACAATGCCATAATCAGATTCCAGATTCCATGGTAAAGTAGAATCCGACAATGTCAATGTTAAGTTATAGTAAATGTAACACACCAGCTAATGTAATTTCTGAAGTATCATACCATCTGAAACTACCAACTACTGTTGCTATGATCGTGGACTTAATAAGAAGCATCAGATTGTTATATGTAACTAACCACCACTCCTTCAACAGAAAATGGACCCACTATATCTCACATAGTGTCTAGTGATCATACATCAACTTCTGTAATCTGTACCAACACTATGAGCAGGGTCTGTGCATCTCAACAAGACCTTAAAGTTCATTAGTTTAACAGCACGTAAGATTAACAAAGGGATCCCAAGGCATTAATACGATACTTCCAGCCCAATGGAACAATCACAGCACTAGATCTCCAGAACCCAAACAGTCGATGCCCAATTCGGTTTAGATAGTACAAGCTTACTAGGTTTTGCCCGCTCAGACGATGTCCGATGAAAGTAGCAACACAGCAATTCCCAACAGAGCGCGCAGCTGCATCCGATCAACGATTCGACTAACGCGAGCACAGCAATTTGCAACAAACCTCCAAATTTTGACTAGTCTGGTACTACTACCGAAGACAAAGCGAGGACTCACCAGTGACCTCGCAGGGGCAGGGAGCCATGTCGCCGTCCGAGTCGGCCGGCGGGTGGCAGAGCACGACGCCCGCCGGTGAGGCCTCCGCGTCGTCGTCGGAGGTCTCGAACGAGACAGCGTCCTCCACGGCCCCGCCGGTGGGACCGGGGACCCACGTGCTTGTCGCCGTCCAGGGCCGTCCGCCGGGCTCGTTGCCTCCCGATCCCGACGCCGCCATCTCGCACCTCCTCCTCCGGGTGTCGTGCTTGTGCCGGGGCGTGCGCTCGCCGCTCGCCGCTCGCCTCGGTGGCTTCCGGATACCGTCGAGCGATCTACCAGTAGGTTTCACTACACGCGAATCTGGTGGTGACTCTGACTGACGGACTGTGGATCTAAGCTTCATAGGCCCTTGTGGACTTGTGGTTTTTGGTTGGGCCGTATATGCCTGCCCATTAATAACTTACTTGAAATAACATGGGCCAGAAGGCCTGATAGCTTTATTTGGCCCGTTTGGGTCGTCCAAATAGTTATCCACACGCGCGCGCTCGGTCCACCACACACCACAGTCCGCAGGTCCGCCGCTGAGTCCGACACTTTCGTTCCGGGGCGACCTCAGGCTCTGGCAAGGATGAAGGTGCCAGTCTGCCAGCTCGCTCCGAGCACCGTCGGAGGAGGAGGTGCGTTTTCGGCGGGTCTTGTCCGGTCCGTGCGTGCGTGGAGGGGAAGGAAGTGTCGGAAGGTAATCAGCTTCTCGTCGGCGGGAAAGGGGGGCGAGGAGGCGGCGCGGCGCGAGACGCCGGAGGAGACGCGGAAGCGGCTGGAGGAGCTGGACGCGCTGCTGGAGGGGCTGGTCGAGCCCAAGATGCGGCCGCCAACGCCACCTCCTCCTCCGGGTAATTCCAGCCTCTGCCAACCCCATCTCAGCTTATGTCCAGTGCTAGGCTAGTAGCCTCTGAACGTGTCCATTCTCCTGATCTTTCAGTTCTAGTTGAATTTGAAAAGGGAACTTCCTGACATATCTTCGTCGGTGCCAAGACTTGTTTGCATGAACCAGTGCTTGTTTGCATGAATCTGTGTTTTCTGGAACGCCAACAGCATAAAACTGTGTAGTTTTGTAACGTGCAATGCAAGGTTGTCTTGTCTCTTTCATACTGAAAGTTTTGACCTGCCTACGGGCTACGGCATTCAGAAGGGATTGACCAGTCCTGTGTGTTCTGTAGGAACTTTGGGTTTAGGTATAAATTGCGAGAATGCTACAGTATGAAGTGTGCTGCACAAGTGTACAACTCCAGTCACTTTATAGTAGCTAAGTAAATAGTACTAGTGGAACAGTACGTACTACATTCGTGCTGATGAACTTGCCGTACTGCCATCTCTTGTGTAGGGATAACTGATGTGCAGTGTCAATTAAGGTTCTTAGGGAGTATAGAAGAAGCGCTGTTGTCATGTGTTTTAAGTTTAAATGCTTGGTCTAGAAAATTTGGAAGAGATTCTTTTTAAAAGGTCGAACATAGAATAAAGCTTCAGTAATCTTTAGCGAAGAAAAATGAAAAACCTTTACTGATCTTGAGCCACCTAAAGACTAAGGTTACTACTTACCACTCTCTGTCCCAAATTATTAATTATTTTGATTTTTCTAGATACATAGCTTTTACTATATAACTAGATATACAATATGTCTAAATATATAATAAAAGTTGTGTATCTACAGATACCAAAGCTATCTATAAAGCAACGGAGATAGTACTAGTTAGTAGCACAGAATTTCAATTGTTTTGTAAGCCAACTCAATTTTCTTTGAGACAGCACACCTGCAGAGAAAACTCAAATTAAAATGGTTGCTGCTCGATTACAGCGTTTTGACGTCATATTACTGTATTTTGTAGTATATTTACTATCGTTTGCTTGAAACAGATCCGTACCTGGACCGAGCCATGATAACAGGGCGGGGATCAACCGATGAACTGCCAGAGATCTCTCCAACATATGTGGCATTCTCGACTCTGGGACTAGTTATCCTCACCATCTTCACCAACGTCATGTTCAATCTGTACGTCAAACCTTCGGTGGACGGCTTCGATCCACCTGAAAGAATTCAGAGAGCGCCTCTAGTCAATCCAGCAGACAGACCATCCGAGTAGTCTCTGCGCAATGCACAATATACAGCTTTGTTGAAGATATGTGTCCCAAGTGAAACGGAATATTTAATTGTGTGGACAGTGGACTCACATTAGCTTCCTAAGTGAACCATTATTTGCTGGGATTTAGTTTTCTTGGTAAATGGCTGGGAGCTTTGGTGTATTTTGCATGCTCCTCCATCTCTGCTTTAAATTACACAAGATGGCATGTGGATGAACCACGTATGTGGGAATCAACATTCTGAGTCTAACAAACCATACAGAACTGGTTTATCACTTATAATGTATTAGCTAGAAGGTGTGTCAAGATTCAAAGCTAGAATTGCGTTTTTTTTTACGGAGGGAGTAGGGTATCAAGAGTGAACATTTTTTTTGTCTGCACTATAGAAATACGGACATGAATAAGGCGCTAACAAAGGTCAAGTGAGAGAAAGGGTGCTCTATTCTCTAGATCTAACATGTCCTGACTGTATTTTGGGATCGGGTGTTCATTTTTATTTTCTTTTGATCCTCTCCCTTCTCTTTTCTTTCTTTCTTTTTTTCTTCTCATTATCCTTAAATATGTACTCGGCCTCATGGATCTGGGCCATTTGATTCGCCTAACGAGGCACTTCGATCCCGCCGTGCTTTGTTGGTGTCATGTCGGTTTCGCTCAAGCGTGGGCACATAAGGTATAGAGGCCGTGGTCGAGAGTCCCCGCAACGAAGCGGATGATCCTCTTCATAGCTTGATGGTGCTCCGCCGCTTGGTCAGCCGATAACTAACGTGCCGATTTTGGCGCCCACCTCCTTGGCTTCAGACCTCTCCTCCATCGGTGAGAGGCGGGTTGCGTCGGTGAGTCCAAATAGCTCAACGACGCTTGGCGAGGGCGGTGCCGTCAAGCGTGATCCCGGAGTCATCTGGTGCACCTCGATTCTCGGTGGTCACTCATCCGGAAGGTGGCCTTCATCTTTTGATTTCCGCCACCTTGGTGCGGTGATCACCAAGTCATCGACGAGACAAAAATATTTCCTCCATCGCCGATTAATACTTGATAGCTTCGCCGCAAGCCAGAGGGGCCTTGCGCAGCAGCAGCACCTTGCCCTCCATGCGGGAATCGCAATCCAATGCCGCACGAGACCTCCTCCCAAGTCGCCGTTAAGGAACGCCGACTTGACGTCCATGTGGCCCTTCGCTAAGCGCAAGGAGGAGACGAACTCCATCCGCGTGACTTGACGCTTTCTTCGTTCACTCAACTTTCATTATACAAGGCCACGAAACAGTGCGCTTTTGTTTTCAGTGTGGCTACAGAACACACTAACCTTTTGGGGGGCTACAGAACGAAACTTTGACCTCACAATAACTTCGCGACGACAGCACACTTTTCCTCTTTATTAATCTTTATTAATAATAATATAAATCGGCCTTCATCCGCCCCGTGATCAATCGTAGTTTATTCTCCTTCATTTTGGCCGGTCGAAACGCCGCACGCAGGGCACCGAAGACCCGCAAGTGGTGGGAGGCTTTTATGCATCGCATAAAGTCGTCATCCCCCTACTTGAGAAGGGCCCGAGCCATCCCACAACAAATCGTTCGCCGCGGACTATGATCATAGTGGCGCTTTTAACCAAAGCGTCCGCAACCTCTCCCCTTCTCCGCCGTGGAAACCTGCCCTCAGGTTTGTAAAAGCGGAGCCTGGTAACATGCCGACTAATCTAGCCGAACGAAGAGCGTGCTTCCTCGCTCTCCCTCGGGCGCCACGCGACCTGCAGTCCAACTACCAGCATCGCATGTGCCTCGTGCTCTGTTTTGTTCAGTTAAATAAAATTAGCGCTACCTTGCCGAATCTATAGCACGGGTACATGTCCGTGTTCAACGTCGAGTTCCCCGGAGGCTGCCGCTGCTGCACGAGCAACAGTTAAACGAAATCCATTGACTGCTGAACGAAACGTGACTTCACCTCGAGGCCTCCTCGTGCTGGCAGCAGATCTCGTGCCGAACCGACGTCCACATCGCCATTAACTCGACGCTCCAGGAAGAAAGCAAGCGCTGCCAGTGCCACCGCCGCGCTCTAGTCTCTAGAGAGAGTCCCCGTCATGTGCGAGCGTCGTCCCCAGATCCATGCGCCCGCGGCTCGCCTCGTGATGGGCTCGGGGTGGCAGCTCGGCCGGACCCGCGGCCACTCTCGGCCTCTTCCTCGATCGAATCACCGGTCGCGGTCGCCGACTCGCCGTTGCTGTCACGAAGCGATGATGGGCGCGGCCGCGCGGGCCCCCGTGGCCCGGGGCGCACTAGCGCAGTAGCGAGGAAGCAAACGTTTCACACGCTGTCTGCCGCGATCGCGATCCGCGAGCATGCATGCATGCTTGCGTGGCTCGAATCAGGTGGTAATAATTCGTGCGGCCCTGCACGGCCGGGCTGGCGTGCGGCCGGAGCCTGGCCTACCCCCGGCCACGGCCAACCACCGTAGGTGCAGTACACGGCACGGGCCTGCAGATCTCACGAGGTGACGAACGAGTGGCGGTTACGTGTCCGTGCCCCAGGCTCTCCCTGTACATATTTTTCACACTTGCCGGCTGTCGATTTGTTGGCGTGTAGCAGTAGATTTTTTCTTCCCCTCTCGGCAAGCTTTTTTCGACATGCACGTGACGGGTGCCTGCCAACCGGTAGCCGGTCTTGTTACCGCGGCGGTGGAACCCTATACTCCTGCAGTCCTTCAGATCTTGCCAGTTGCCACCGGCCGGACTGCGTTACGGCACTGTTCAGCATGCTTTTGAGCTTTGTGCGGGGTTGATGAGACCGATCACTCACTGACCATTTACGAAGATGCTGCCTCACTAATTACGCGAGGAATTAGTAGGCCCACCTGTGCGTGCTTTCAAGAGACGGTGAGTTGGAGCAGCGAAGTGATTGCGAGCTTATCCATCGTCCCTCATCGTAGGAGAGCAGTAGATGCCCCTTGCGCACTTGGTCGGTCATAATGCCAAATCTGGTCCTGCGAACATTTCTAACTATCGTGGATCGCAGTACCGCAATCACTCACTGCACGGCTCGGTACACGATCTAACCAACCCGATCGATCCTTGGCGTGTAAACAACGCGTATAAAAAATGGTGGCATTCATCGCGGCTCTCCGCCGCAACGTGCACGCTTGCCGAACTGGTGATCAGAGCACAGACCAGCAGCAGGGCCATGTGGTGCGCAGCTGGAGCGAGGATGCGAGCGAGAGCTAGCGCGCAAGCGCAGAGCATCAAGCAAAGCTAGCTGCAGCAGCAGCGGGCTTGCCTGCCCGTGCCCAGAACCAGAAAGAAAGGCGGCCGAAAGAATCCTTTCTCTTTTCTCGCTTCGCCACTATCGTCTCGTCGAGCTCCATCTCTCTCTCCTTCACATGCGTTCTCGCGTGCGGCCTGAACCCTGTCGGACGCCTCCATGCCCCCATTATTTAGGCCCGTTTAGATGTCCTCAAAATCGTCCCTCATCGTAGGAAAAATTTTGGTCGGTCATAATGCCAAATCTGGTCCTGCGAACATTTCTAACTATCGTGGATCGCAGTACCGCAATCACTCATGCACGGCTCGGTACATCGATCGATCCTTGGCGTAAACAACGCGTATAAAAATGGTGGCATTCATCACGCTTGCCGAACTGGTGATCAGAGCACAGACCAGCAGCAGGGCCATGTGGTGCGCAGCTGGAGCGAGATTAAATAGTAGCAAGCGCAGAAAAAAAAGCTAGCTAGCAGCAGCACTGTTGGAAAGGCGGCCGAAAGAAAATCGTGAGTCGAATCTTTTAAGCCTGAAAATCCATGCCCCCATTATTTATAATTGAACAATTTTTGCAGATATCGTAAGTAAATACAAAAAAAACTAATTACACAGTTGGCCGAGAAATCGTGAGACGAATCTTTTAAGCCTAAATAGTCCATAATTGAACAATTTTTGTTAAATACAAACAAAAGTGCTACAGTAGATAAAAGCCAAAAATTTTCGGAACTAAACACGCCCTTAGCTCTCACATGGGGGGACTCTGCCTCCGTGTTGCGGAAAACATTAAGAAAATACGTAATGCCCCATAAATGACGCGATATCGAGGCCGAGCTGCAAAAGGGCCCGAGGAGCTCTGTTTGTTGCGCGGATCAGAACTCAGAAGATGATTGCTCGGCTGCTCGGCATGCGTGGGCGGTTCTGACGCCACATAACGTTCGGTTGTGGCGGCAGATGGTGGCGATGTTTGCTGCTGCTCACACGCTTCGCGGCACGCACGTCCTGTCTGAACATGAGTTGCAGGGTCCGGGGTGGACCAGTGTGTGGCGTATGCACCGACTGTAACGATGCCCAGCTGGGCTGACGTGCCCTTCTCAGTGCATCCGCACGGGAGTTTTAATCTCGATCTCGTGAACGAGAACATATATAACCGACCTCAAAACAACGATGTGTTTGAGACCTGAGAGTGGTCGCATTACATGCTGTTGTTGTACAGTAGTACTCCACAACTGTACAAAGCTCCACAACTGTTTCTGGAATCTGGATTAAACAATCTCCAGGCCAGATGCTCTCAATTTGTTTCTCCAATAACTAAACAAGCAATCCCAATAAAACAGTGGCTCAATTGCGCGTACTTTAATCCAGGCCTTGCTAAGCATAACCAGGACAAGCGGATCCAGGGCAGGCGCTAGCTAGCTAGGCGATGTGTTAGCAGCCTGCCCCTGCCCGTGCCCGTGACAGGTGAAGACGTCGCACCTGGAGCTAAAGAGGAAGCTGCTCTGGCTGTCCGGCCCAAGAGACTACGTTGGCCCAGTACAAGAATCGTTGGCCCAATGTGGCAAGTCAGTCCATGTATTAAGTAGGAGCAAGGAGAGAGGAGAGGGCATGGATGATAGAAAGAAAACTAAACTTTGCTACTGAGAAATCCGGCCATCGCGCCGTTCACTACTTTGTTCTTCCCATTCTTCCTTTCCAGTAATTTCTCCTTACAATTGGTATCAGATTTCTGTTCGAGTCCTGGCCTCCGATCCCCCTCATACCTACTTTACCCGTCTGCAACGCTCTCTGGGAGCCATGGAACCGAATCTCAAGTTGGTACTGGAGGAAATCCAGAAGTTGAAGGAGGAGTTCGGGCGTCGTTTCGACGAGCACAACGAGCAGTGGGAGCGGCGATTTGCCGATCTCAAGCTTAGCCGCGCCGCCCACGACGCCGCCGTTGACAAACGCCTCGACTCCATTGAGCTCGCTGGCGCCGACACGGCGTACACCATCGGCCGGCGCGTTGCCGATTTGGAGGCCGTCCGCATCGACCCCCTCCAAGACGAGCGCGACGACCGTGTCACCGCCCTCGAGGTGGCCGCCACGGACCTCGGTACTTGGCGCCCAGAGATGGAGGCGCTTGTCGACGACCTGCGAATCGAGATGCAGAAGCTATACCAAGGTCGCGACTTTAAGGTGTTCGACGTTTTGCCTCAATGGCCTACCGTCGTCGCCTCTTCTTCCTCTGCGCCCAGTGGGCACGGCGATGCATCGTCTCACCGGGATGGTGGGTTTAGGACCGGGGCGGTCTGGACTCACGTCCCAGTCATGGGTAAGCAATCCGACCCGCCTCCCCCTCCTCCTCCTCCTCCCCTTCATCCGCGCTCGACATCACAGCTTCCGCACCGGCCTCCTGCTCCACCGTACCCTTCTCCACACCTTCCTTCGCATCCACACCCTTCTCCGCATCCACCGCGCCCCCTCCGCTCTACATACCTCCTCGTCCACCACTTTCCACTCCTCGCCACCCAACTCCTCACGACACCCATGACCTCCCACATCCAACTGGACGCCTCCCTAAACTTCCATTCTCTAAATTTGATGGCGAAAACCCACGCCTCTGGCGTTCTCGCTGCGAGCGCTACTTCACCATGTACGCCGTAGATCCCTCACTTTGGGTTAGCGTCGCAACCATGTATGTGGAAGGCGCCGTTACTAACTGGTATGAATCCATCGAAAACACCCCAGCCACTGCAAATTGGACAGCCTTCTGTCAAGCCTTGCACGATCGATTTGATCGCGATAAGAAGGAAGCATTAATTTGTCAATTATTCCACATCAAACAAACTTCTACGGTGTCGGAATATGTCGAGCGTTTCTCAGTTTTAATTGATCGCCTCAAATCTTATTATGCTTCTACTGATCCCCTGTTTTATACAATGCGCTTTATCGATGGCCTTCGGCCCGACCTCAAAGCTATGATACTGGTTTCTAGACCACAAACACTCGATGCTGCTATCTGCATGGCTCTTGTGCAGGAGGAGGTGGCTGGCCAAGCGGGCGCCCAGTCTTCGTTCCGTTCATCGACACCCGTTGAGTGGTCTTCTAAACCCACACCATGGACCGCGCAGCCGCTACCACCACCTCCGCCTCGTATCGACAAGCCCGTGGCGAAGCCTGCAGCCGCCGAGCCCACGGCAACATCTTCAGCAGCCGGTGCTCTGGCTGCTGTCAAAGCATACCATCGAGCATTGGGGTTATGCTACAAGTGCAACGCCAAGTGGAGTAAGGATCACCGGTGCGCACCGGAAGTCCTGCATGCGGTCGACGCTCTTTGGGAATCGCTGGACCCTGATGTTGTGCCGGCTACAGAACACTCTGATGATCACCCACCTGAACAAGTGTTTTTGGCCATCTCAAAGTCTGCCATGTCTGGAGTACCTGCTGCTCGTACTATCCGGTTGTTGGGATCGATGTCAGGTATTCCAGTGCATATTTTGGTGGATTCAGGGAGTTCTTCTTCATTTATCAGTAACACTACAGCTGCTAAGTTACATCACCCAGATTCAGTTTCTATGTCTAGCTGTGTGCAAGTTGCTGGTGGTGGTGTGTTGCAGAGCTCCTTGCTGCTTCGCCAAGTTACGTGGACAGTTGGCTCATGTTCCTTTCGCACTGATTTTCGCGTGCTGCCTTTGGGTAACTTCGACGCCATTTTGGGCATGGATTGGTTAGAGGCCTACAGTCCTATGCAAGTTCATTGGGCCTTGAAGTGGCTGGCCGTTCCATATGCTGACAAGACTCAGGTGTTGCAAGGGTTACTACCTGATGAATCGGAATCAGTTGCTGTTGCAAATTGCAAATACAGTGCCTGCTCCTTCTGCAGATTAGGATGTTGTCAGTGTTCCAGCTCCAATCAGTCCAGCTAATTGAGGAGTTTTCTGACTTGTTCCAGTTACCAACATCTCTTCCACCTTCTTGCGCTTGTAACCATGAGATTCCTCTGTTGCCAGGTGCCCAACCTGTCTTCATTCGGCCCTATAGATACCCACCCAAATTGAAAGATGAAATTGAAGACTAGGTTCCGAAGATGTTGTCACAAGGCCTCATCCAGCTGAGCTCTAGCTCTTTCTCATCACCGGTACTGCTTGTCAAAAAGAAAGATGGCTCCTACCGGTTCTGTGTTGACTTTAGACACCTCAATGCTCTGACAAGGAAGTCTAAGTTTCCTGTGCCGGTGTTTGACCAGTTGATGGATGAGCTAGCAAACGCTAAGTGGTTCTCAATATTGGATCTTCGAGCGGGTTTTCACCAAATACTGTTGTAGCAAGGTGAAGAGTTCAAGACCGCTTTCCAGACTCACCTGGGTCAGTACGAGTTCAGAGTGATGGCGTTCGGCCTTACTGGCGCACCCGGCACATTTCAGGGTGCCATGAATGGTACTTTGGCTCCAGGTTTACGCCGCTTCGTGTTGGTTTTCTTCGATGATATTCTCATCTACAGCCCCACGTTTGAAGCCCATGTCGACCATTTGTGGCAAGTTTTTCAGTGGTTACGTGCTGATCAGTGGAAGCTCAAGCTCTCAAAATGTACCTTCGCTAAGGAGTCCATCTCCTACTTGGGTCATATCATCAGCAACCAAGGCCTTTCCACGGACCCAGCCAAGGTGCAAGCAGTGCTCGAATGGCCCGTTCCATCTTCAGTACGGGAGCTCTGAGGTTTCATGGGCCTTGCCGGCTATTACAGGAAATTTGTGCATCATTTTAGCATCATTGCCAAGCCTCTAACAGATCTCCTGAAGAAAGATTAGTTGTTCATATGGACCTCAAACCATGAGTCTGCATTCTCTGTGCTGAAACAAGCTCTCTGTACTGCCCCGTCTTGGCTTTGCCGGATTTCAGCTTGCCCTTCCACATTGAAACTGATGCTTTCGGGTCTGGAATTGGAGCAGTTTTACAGCAGAATGGGCACCCCATAGCATTCATTAGCAAAGCTTTAAGTCCCAGGAATCAAGGGTTGTCAGTCTACGAAAAGGAATATCTTGCTATATTGATGGCTGTCGAACAGTGGCGTCACTACTTGCTTCAAGGTGAGTTCTTTATTCACACTGATCATCGCAACTTAGTACATCTAAATGAATAGCGGCTACATACTGCGTGGCAACAGAAAGTATTCTCCAAATTGCTTGGGTCACAGTATAAGATTCTCTACAAGAAAGGCTCTGAAAATGGCGCTGCAGACGCCCTTTCTAGCCGAGTGCACCCAACCATGAGCTATGCTATATCTTCAGTCTCCCACAATTGGCTTGATGAAGTTGTCCAAGGATACTATTTTGACCAAGCTGCTATGGATCTGTTGTCTCAGCTGGCTGCCAGCCCCGATAGCCGCCCTCCATTTTCTTTAATCCAAGGAGTCATCAGATACAAGAACCGTCTGTGGCTGAGTTCTAATAAGTCCATGCAGCTTAAAATTATGATATCACTACATAGCAGTCCATTGGGTGGCCACTCAGGTGCACCAGCGACATACAGTAAGATCAAAGCCTTGTTCTTTTGGCTTGGTATGAAATTTGACATTTGGGCTTATGTTTAGTCATGTGCTGTGTGTTTGCAAGCCAAGCCGGACCAATCCCGTTATCCAGGCCTCTTGCAGCCACTTCTAGTACCGTCTGCTTCTTGGGAAGTTGTCTCAATGGATTTCATTAAAGGGTTGCCACAGTTTGGCTCGTTCAATGCAATCTTAGTAGTGGTGGATAAGTTCTTCAAGTTTTCACACTTCATTCCACTGCGCCATCCTTTTACAGCAGCCTCTGTTGCCAAGATTTTCATGGACCAAGTGTATAGCCTTCACGGTCTTCCTCGAGCTATTGTCTCCGACCGCGACCGTATATTTACTAGTAACTTTTGGAAATATCTGTTCAAGGCAGTAGGCTCCGAGCTTCAGTTCAGCTTCGCCTACCATCCACAGACGAACGGTTAGACAGAGTGTGTCAACCAGTGCGTCGAGACATTTCTTCGCTGCTTTGTGCACACTTGCCCAGCTCAGTGGAGTCGTTGGTTACCACTCGCTGAATTCTGGTATAATACATCTACACATTCAGCGCTAGGACGTTCCCCCTTTGAGGTCTTATATGGTTTTCCTCCACACCTGTTGTCGGTGAACTTGGATGATGTGGCTCCAGTGCCTGAACTTCACAAGTGGATGGCTGATCGAGAGCTCATGCATACTGTTGTCAAGCAGCACTTGCTTCGTGCCCAGGCTCGCATGAAACGCCAAGCTGATAAAGGCCGTTCTGAGCGTCAATTCTCTGTGGGTGACATGGTGTTTTTGAAGCTCCAACCCTATATTCAGTCATCACTGTTCCACCACTCAAACAACAAATTATCTTTCAAGTTCTTTGGGCCATTTCAAGTCATTCAAAAGATTTGTCTAGTTGCATACAAGTCCGCCATTGCTACCACTTTGCATTCTGTCCATCCGGTCTTCCATGTCTCATGATAGCGTTCTTCTCCGAAGCAATCGCAGTATCGCCATCACTACCTTCCGATTTGCGTTAGCTTTTCGATTTCGCTTGGGTGTCAGAACGTCATTGGACATCCGGGGCTCGGCTTTGTGGCGCAAGGCCTTATCCGATTGGTCTCATTCACCTCCCGAGTCGTGTCTACTTGGGAGCCGCTCGAGCAACTTTCGCCAATAGTTCATGAGCACCAAAGATGGGGACATCTTTGGTTCTAAAGATGGGGGAATGTTACTGCCCTGCCTGCGTTCGTGACAGTGAAGACGTCGCTACCGGAGTCAAGAGGAGGTCTGCTCTGGTGTCTACCAAGACCCAAGGCTGCGTCGGTCCAAGACAAGAATCGTTGACCCAATGTGGCAAGTCTAATCCATGTATTAAGTAAGAGCAAGGAGAGAAGAGAGGACATGGATGATAGAAAAAAACTAAACTTTGCTACTGAAAAATCCGCCATCGCGCCGTTCACTACTTTGTTCTTCCCGTTCTTCCTTTCTAGTAATTTCTCCTTACACGATGCCCATCTCGATTCTCAAAAATCAGCACGTATGCTAATGCTTGAAATATTGTGAGAGAAAAAAATATTCATGATCGAAAAAAACATCGACTTTCGTGTAGGGCAGAGTGAAAGGTAGCTCGTCCGTCAATAAACAGGGCTGACGAGCGGACTACGTGTAGGGGGCAGAGTGGCAGGGCCGCGCCACACGGCCGTCCAATAATGTGCACGCACGCCGGCGAACGGAGCGGACCAAAGCCGCAGCGCCACATGCTCATCCTGCACGCACCAATCGCGCGCGCCCACGAGGCCGCGACGCCGGCGAACCCACTCGGATCCTTCCCTCCCGTCTCGTCCCCGCCAGTTACCGCCGGACTGGACACTCCGGCACGGGGGTGGCCTTGTCCGGTTGCAGTCAGTGTTTCAGGTCTCAGGACCATGCCAGGCACGGTGGTGCTCGCAGTGCACACTGCTGGCGATCTCGGTGTCTGCGCAGGCGCCCCGATCCGGTGGTGGGTGACTGGGTGGTCAAAAAACCGAGGCAAGAGATGCCGAGGGGAAAAGAAAGGGGTTATCCCGTCACGCCGCGCCCTTTTTATAGCAGCCTTCGTGCGCCTCACTTCCGCACTCCCACACCACACTCGAGAGCCAGCTCTCCCAGCACGCACACACGAGCACGATGGCGTCCACCACCACCTTCCTCGCCGTCCTCCTGCTCGTGGCGTCGGCGTCCGCGGCGGCGGCGCGGTCCTGCTCACCGAGCGACCTGCACGTGCTGCTGAGCGTGAAGCAGGCGCTGGGCAACCCAGCGACGCTGTCGACGTGGACCGCGTCGTCGCCCAACTGCTGCGCGTGGGACCACCTCCGGTGCAACGACGCCGGGCGCGTGAACAACGTCTTCATCGACGCCGCGGACGACGTGCACGGCCAGATCCCGTCCGCGGTGGGCGGGCTGACGGAGCTCATGTCGCTGACCCTGTTCAAGCTGCCGGGGCTCACGGGCTCCATCCCGGCGTGCCTCACCGCGCTGTCCAAGCTGGAGTTCCTCACCATCTCCCACACCAACGTGTCCGGCACCATCCCGGAGTCCCTTGCGCGGCTCCGCAGCCTCGACTCCGTGGACCTCTCCAGCAACCGGCTGACGGGCGGCATCCCGGCGTCGTTCGCCGACCTGCCCAACCTCCGGTCCCTGGACCTCCGGCACAACCAGCTGACGGGCACCATCCCGGCGGGGCTGGTGCAGGGGCAGTTCCGGTCTCTGATCCTGTCCTACAACCAGCTGACGGGGCCCATCCCGCGCGACGACGCGCACGACGAGATCAACACCGTGGACCTTTCCCACAACAAGCTCACCGGCGACCCCTCCCACCTGTTCGTCGCCGGCCGGCCCATCGGCAAGGTGGACCTGTCGTGGAACTACCTCGACTTCGACCTCAGCAAGCTGGTGTTCCCGCCGGAGCTCACGTACCTGGACCTGTCCCACAACCAAATCCGGGGCACCGTGCCGCTGTCGCTGGAGCGCCTGTCCACGCTGCAGAAGCTGGACCTCAGCTACAACCACCTGTGCGGGCCGCTCCCCAAGGGCCACGGCGTGATCAAGCACGGGTGCAAGCCGTTCGCGCACAACCAGTGCCGCAAAGGGACTCCGCTCGCGGGCTGCCAGGACCTGGAGTGAGTTTTCTCTGCTCGGACCCCGGAGCGGGGTTTCTCTGCTCTGCTCTCCCTCGTCGGCCTCTGCTGAAGTGTGCGATGTAGTGTGTATTTGGTATGGATCCGTTCGATCGGCCTGATGTATGGAAAGGATGTTTACGTACTATAAATGACAAATCATATTTTCCTCTTCTTTTTGTAATATAAGAAGATGCGCTTCCTGCGAAGTTGCGTGGTCGGTGAAGTGAATCATCAGGCAAGCACAAGCACTTCGACCTTAGCAAGCTGGTGTTCCAGCCAAACTGTGTTATGGTCGTGGGAGCAGAGACCGAGAGACGGACGGTGATGACAGAAAAACTCGGGCTTCAGAGAGCAATGATGAGAGATCCAAAAACTCATCGCAATGAAGAGAGATCCAAAAACTCTGGCTTCAGAACGCGAAATTTTTCTCTAGATCATACTACATTTGCTTGTAAATTTATCTAACGTCTGTAAAATTTCTATACAGTTTTTTTATATATAAAATTACTATGTTCCAAACATACCCTGATTCTCTGGTAGCTCAGGATGCTTAGCAGTTCCTACAGTTGGATACGACGCGTATTTCATTCATCGCAGGCAGACCGTTGCACGAGAGCAGCGCACAGCCGCCCAGGGCAGCAAGCCGTTTCAAATCCTGCTTTTTTACTGCCTTTCCCTTTTATTTACTCCACGAGCTGGCAGGTCGCTGGATTTATGACACGAGGCGAATGATGAGGGTATGTCTTCACTTGCTGGGTGAAAGTGGTCTAGGGGGAAGTGAGTACAGTAAAAAACAAGACTGCAGATATCGGAGCGGCCGACCGGGAGGGCCGGACCGCCGGAGGGGACGAGACGCGAGTCCAGAGAGCATGCACTGTCAATCTGTCACGCGATGCGAGTGCATTGGAGGGGCCCTATCCGGGATGGGGAGATCGGAGACAGCACAGTATAGCCGCGCTCGCTTGCGTGATGCATGAACCATGCAGGAATACCTTTCTTCTGCTTTCTCTCCCGAGCTGCTTTTCTCGTGCTTTATTTGGGCCTAGAAATGGGCTTCTTTTATTTTCTTAAGTGCAGCTGATTTCATCTTGCTATACTCTAAGTATATGCTCCTGATCTTTTCAGGGAATATTTCTTAGGGAAAAAAACTATTTGACCTTCTTGCTGTCCAAATTTTATTTTCCTCACTCATGGAAACCATATAAAACCATATAGGCCATGTTCGCTTCTCTTATAATCCGTACTTTTCAGCTTGTTTTTTCAACTGAAACAGTGTTTTTCTCTCACAACAAATCAGCCGGAACAGTATTTCGCCTTGTTTTTTTAGCGAAACGAATGGGGCCATACTTTGCTTCCTCTCCTATATTCAATATCGTGCAAATCACACTATATGTGTCAAAGGTTCGTTTGACCATTTCATATGCAATTTCTCTCATTTATCCTTGTCACACGTAAGCCTGTCAATTATCCTTGTCAAAGGTTACTAAGGTTTACATTTATTAAAAAATGCGACAAAAGAGTTAATGATTACTTGGTCCTAACTGAAAACGTTTCTAAGCATGAAGGGTGGTAGACAATACTATTTTGGAATTTAATTTCTAACAAAAATGTTTAAACACTAGTCGCATGTTTTGGTATTGTTGATTGCATTAAAGTGAGTGCTTAAGCATGGCATAGGTCGACATTGTGTTGGATGTCACGTTGTCCGCTCTAAGATTGCCCTAATTTCACTAGAACACGCTGTTGGGGTTGTGTCGGGTTTCGTTCGTGAACTGACATTCTGCGCGACGAGCTCATGTTGGCATCCTTCTATTCCCCTCTCTGGTTGCTCTCGGGCCATGTTGATGGCTTTGCTAGGTCGCTAGTCATCTTGACTTTAGGACAGGGAAATTAGTTGGGCCTCAATTGTGATTGTTGGTAGTTTTTGCTTCACTTTAAAATGCGTACATGTCAAATATAGCAGCCGTTCGGACTGGGTTCGCGGTCACCCAGTGAGCCTGCGCAGTGGGGCGCCGGTCGCTATTGCGACCATGCCGCATGATGATCGGCCGCATTGCGTGTGCGCCGAGTTCGTGCCTATGCGCGCCTGTGTCTAGTGTGGCCCAACCTAGTTGGCAGTGGTTTGGTCACCCGGCCGCGGTGTGCGCGCGCCAACGCCAGCCACCGAGCCGTGCGCGGGGCCGTGGCTGTCACCGCTTTGTCGACGTGGCGCTCGTCTCGCCCTTCATCCTACCTACCGTGTCAAATATTTAGACATGTGCCGCCGCCGCGAACCTCGGTTGTCGACCTCGGTCGCTGTGATGACGAGATGCTTCCCTGCCTTGCCGCTAGCCGACACTAGTGAGCCTCGCTCGGGTGTTGCCGCTCCACTCAAACGCGTGTCGCGCCAAGCCCATAAACCATTGCAGCGCGCACGTGTTCGATCTACCATCATCAAATGGAGCCGCCCTGTCTTAATCCGCTCGCCCACGCTCAGGTGCACTCTCCACGGCAGGGCCGTGGCTAGAGCTCTGCTTTTTCGCCCTCCAATTGCCTAGCGCCAGCGGCTTCGCTGTTCAATTCCTCGCTCTCGCGGGAAGCTTTGGAAGTAGGCTAGCTGTATACTTCCCCTCAAGCTCAGTTATGCCCTATCGATCGGCAATTTGGTGTTTTGCCGCCGGTCGTGGGCGTCGCTGAATCGGTTGGTTGAGAGGTAAGGCATGTAGGAGTGGTTGCAGTTCGATTGCTCGTAACCCGGAGCTCGCCTTGACTCCCCCTATCTGGTGCTCGCACTGTTTTGGCTAGGGTGCTCGTCGTCGGTGGGGTGACACGTCGGTGTCC